CAGTGTTAAGTAATTTCAAAGGAACAAAGCCAATTTCCGCGAGTGCGAAATTCTACGCCTTTTCCGCCTTTGAACTAGTCAGCTGTGACGCAGTTATCTTAGAACTTAGAAGGGAACTTTTTTAAGCAACAGCATGGAGGAGAGAGAGTCAGCGGCGTTCATACGGTAAACACCTTACGACTGTGCTCTGTGATTACTGAATTACCTTTGAGATAAAACTTACATTTTCTTCCGTAATTAACGTAAAACTTAAATACCTCAACATCCATCAGGCATCAACTTGATATTGAATTCGCTTTTCTATATACTACCACTAGCACTACGGGTACCGGGGTATATAAGTCAAGTGTCTGATTTCATTTTCACGAACCCGGCTGGCTTTCTCGCCCCTCCCCCCTCCTCTTCTCTTCATGAGAAGAGGCAGTAGGTAGGAGCAGGCCTGCGAGCCAGCTACAATCAACTAATTTTTTTATATTCTATTATTGGTTTGTTATCATTTAATTTGATTATTATACATTTGCTTGTTGTACTTGTATTGTATTTTACATTAACTGATCCATTTTTCAATGCTATGATATTATGTAAAATTTAGTTTCTCTGTCATAAACCCCCTGTCATTTTGACTATATTTCTGTGTAAGCATTTCTAAAATTTCCCTTAAGAGAGCACAGACTAGCTTCCTGTACTAAGAGGCTAAAAACTTAACAAGCAACAAGCTCTCAGGCCCAGCGGTCATCCATCAGGCAGACCTGTGGCTTTATGTCCACCACAGTGTGGACCCCCTGCTAAGAAGAAGAACAACATGGAGAAACCCAAGCTGCGAGTCTGCGACCCTGGCTCTGCCTGAAGTCGCGCAGACGGACTGGCCGACTGGGCTATAGAATTGTATGAATATAATTAGAATTTGCATTTTGGTGTTGAATTGATTGATTTTCTTAGGTAGGTAGTTACTAGTTCATATTAACCCACTGTGCCTGTGCCAGTGTGCCGCTGTGCGTTACCTGGGACCGTGGCTGGGACTGGAGTCTGGGATGCTGGGTATGGCTTTCGTGGGATGGTGGGAGGAGAGAGGCTCTGCTCTTGTTTGTTTTGTTTCAGGCCTCCTCTTCTTCCCATTGTCATCATTCTGTGGGAGCGCACTATTGTCTTTTAATTACGTAATTACCAAGTCGTAATTAAACTTCTTCAGCACTAGCTACTAGGATGCACAGTTTGAATTGGTTGTTGGGCTGCCTCTCTGGACTCTGAGGACTGAGCCTGAGGAGGCCCATGAGTCATGAGTGCAACTGTGCAAGCATGGATAACATCTACGGTCTACCTTTTAGCCTTTAGGGCTGCGACTAGAACTTTCCAGAATCCAGGTTATCCAGCCAATTCCGGAACCGCGAGATTTCTGCCAAATGAGTTACTGCCATTCTTAACAAAAGTGCACAGTTCGCGCTGCTAGATTCCTAATGTATTAAAAAGTTGTCACATTGGAGCTGCAAGTCAGCAAGATTTCAGGAACAATTAGGAAAATTCCAATCCTGCAAGGCTGCAGTGATCACTGCCCACTGTGCAGAGAGTGGGTGAATATTGCAAGAAGATCTTTGGCGACGCTTCAGTAGCAAAATTTATGCCTTCAGAAGATCTTGCCGACACATTTAGATTGAAATTCTTGCGTTTGATATATTTGTCAGTCTTCGGCCAACTATTTAAAAAAGAAGTAAGGTTTCCGGTATGTTGGATGGATCAGGATGCAGTGAAGCTTGTCCGGAAATCAGTTGCGATGAGTTCCTGCCAAAAAAATGTAAACATCAAGTTTACGATTACGTAGTTGCGGTCACATTAGAGCGGTCAGAATGCATTATCACATGTTCAGTTGACGCTTGCTGTACAATCAGACTGTTTTAGGGTAAAATTAGTTATTTGGGGTAACACATGCATGCAACCTTGTAAATAAGTTTGTGGCTTGTAAGTAGTTTTTCATTACTCAGCGTAAATGGCTTTCCATTAAAAATTACCAGGCGACGCATCTTAAAATTACCCGGCGACGCTTAGGGCTTAAAAACCCATATATTGGCAACGCTGCATCCACCCTCTGCACCCTGGATCACTGCATGATGATAAGATTAGATGATGATGAGTGTATAGATCAATGTGGGAAACCTATGCTTTGGAAATCTATTGACTTGTAGCCAATTTTTGAGACCCTTAGTTTTGTGAATAATGTTCTTATTACAAAAGATCTTACGCAGCTCTGCTGTGTTTTGCGGCTCTCCGGCTCTGCCTTGTATCATGGCGCTGCTGTGTTTTACAGCTCTGTTGTGTTTTGTGGCTCTGCCATGTTCCTCGGGGCACGGTCTGCCGTGTTCCAGGGCCCTGCTGTGTTGAAGCCCCATTGGAAATTTAAGGTAATGAACAGGACTCACAGGTGTACTATTTGGGAGATGCCCAAGCCCTGGTCCCCAGGTCGACGTGGGATGCACCAGCCCCAACCTGGCCCAGAACACGCTCCAAATTGGCCAACACTCATCTCAAGCTGGTCCCAGAATATGCCCCAAATTGGCCGCTCTGCAAAAGTGCAGGAACAAGAACACATAAAACCTACCCAACAATAAAACACTTGTAACACATAAATACACTTGAAAATACATGTTGAACTACCTACTACAAAACTCTAGAACAATTTAAAGGGATGATTGACAATATATACTAACCTTTACTTATAAAATGTAGGACTGAGATGCGTGGCAAGAGTGTTCCCTTGACTCACCTATAAAGAGCCGTGATAGTCTTGGGGTAAGTTAGGGACAGATCAGCAGGCAGTAGTCAGGGTCAGAAAGCATGTTCATTTACAGCAGGTCAGTCAGCATGGGTGAGTAGCAGGTCAGTATGAGTAAAAGTTATGCAGGACTATGGAAAACTGACTTTCTCTAAAACCATGCTTCACATTCACATGCAATAATTTAACTTTAACTGGCTGTCACTTGTTTAGTATTAAGGCAGTGGGGCCACAAAGAAGAGAATTGATTCAAAAATTAAAAACAATCAATAAATAATTAATTTGCTAAAATATGGCTCTTAACAATGGTGCCTCATGTTCAACTCTCATTTGTGGCGTGATTTGTTATTAATTCGTAAATGTTAACTTGCTGTGTTCGACTTGGAGATAAATTGCTAATGAATTAATATTTAGTCTGATTTAAATCTTAAAGTGTTGCAACCTTCATTCTTGATCTTGATTCTTTCAAGTGTAACTTTAATCCCTCCTATTTTTATCTTCTCAATCTTAACTGAAATTTTTGTATGATGGAGGTGGATTGAAAATAATATATGAACCTTAATTTTTAGAATTCCATCCTGACTGAAGGAATGCTATACGGCTGCTGATATGAAGCTTGCAGTGGACAAGGTTCAAAGGTTGTTGTCAATGCTCAATGGCATGTCCATGGATATGGTAATATCACATCTATATATGGTAATCAATACCGTATATATTGTAGTATATCAATAAAGGAAAAACAACTATAAATCACAGAAAATGGCATTTATTCTACATCTACATAGGAAGAGGACTTTGGAGTACTGTTAGTAATGGATGAGTACACTCTGAGTGCTTCAAACATTTTAAAATTGAGTTTTATTTTGTGTCCCATATTAGCCTGCTCCCAGAGGTAATTTGGGATGCTTTTCTTTTGCACCTGGCACCTTACAAATAGCATATATGGAATTTTTCATAGATGCCATATGATGTCCCACACAATGACCTTCAAAATGAGCTTAAATTGGTTTATGAAATATTTCATGGCAAGAAGTTATTAACAAAAAATGCTGAAAATCCCAGTAATAACCTCAAGACAAAGATATTACCTTGTTTGACAGTACTGAAAAAATTTGTTGCTTTTTGGGTACCTATGTTTTATAAAGCAAATAAATTATTACTGTTATATATAAACTTTTCATATGAGCTAAAATGTAGATATAACAATACTGTTATATCTTGACAATATTAACAGTTGATTTCATCAGATTTATACTCCAATATTATAAAGGCCCCATTGTTAGTTAAATGGATGTTGACTCACTAGTCATTGACTTCCATTCCAAGCATGCAAGACCTTACTAGCTTCAAAACAAATTTGCAACATGATGTACCTACCTATTGCATCTAAATTGGAGTATGGCATTATGAGTCTTCTTACATGTTAGTAAGTTTTTTATATTAATATTCTTCTATTTCAGAACATCAAATAATGCTAAACAATGTTCATAGTCCCAATTCCATTGTCACTTTTTTCTTAATTTTATACCTTTTCCAGAGCTTTGGATCCTCTTCCAATGCCAGGTAAAAATATCTTGCATGAAGGTATCTGATAATGAGTTAACAAAACAAAGAAATGTTGAAGTTTTAGATGGTAAATTTTCATGTTTTATAAGTAGAAATGAATAAAGGAATACTGCATTTAGAATGGTTTATGGATTGATGCAAGCTTCTTATTTGCCTTACCCATTAGAGGTGAAATAAAATTTTATTGCAGGTAAGTGTAGTTATTTGGAATGTTATTTCCGCAGTAATTACTCTGCTTACCATTTTGATCGTTATTGTTTGCATGAACGTGAATGCAAAACAGTTGCATTAATTCATTGATCTTGTAATATTGTAAAAGTCAATTTTAATCAAAATATCATTGGCATGTGAGCTTTATGGAATTTTTCATAGATGCCATATGATGTCCCACACAATGACCTTCAAAATGAGCTTAAATTGGTTTATGAAATATTTCATGGCAAGAAGTTATTAACAAAAAATGCTGAAAATCCCAGTAATAACCTCAAGACAAAGATATTACCTTGTTTGACAGTACTGAAAAAATTTGTTGCTTTTTGGGTACCTATGTTTTATAAAGCAAATAAATTATTACTGTTATATATAAACTTTTCATATGAAATAAAATGTAGATATAACAATACTGTTATATCTTGACAATATTAACAGTTGATTTCATCAGATTTATACTCCAATATTATAAAGGCCCCATTGTTAGTTAAATGGATGTTGACTCACTAGTCATTGACTTCCATTCCAAGCATGCAAGACCTTACTAGCTTCAAAACAAATTTGCAACATGATGTACCTACCTATTGCATCTAAATTGGAGTATGGCATTATGAGTCTTCTTACATGTTAGTAAGTTTTTTATATTAATATTCTTCTATTTCAGAACATCAAATAATGCTAAACAATGTTCATAGTCCCAATTCCATTGTCACTTTTTTCTTAATTTTATACCTTTTCCAGAGCTTTGGATCCTCTTCCAATGCCAGGTAAAAATATCTTGCATGAAGGTATCTGATAATGAGTTAACAAAACAAAGAAATGTTGAAGTTTTAGATGGTAAATTTTCATGTTTTATAAGTAGAAATGAATAAAGGAATACTGCATTTAGAATGGTTGATGGGTTGATGCAAGATTCTTATTTGCCTTACCCATTAGAGGTGAAATAAAATTTTATTGCAGGTAAGTGTAGTTATTTGGAATGTTATTTCCGCAGTAATTACTCTGCTTACCATTTTGATCGTTATTGTTTGCATGAACGTGAATGCAAAACAGTTGCATTAATTAATTGATCTTGTAATATTGTAAAAGTCAATTTTAATCAAAATATCATTGGCATGTGAGCTGTCATGATGCTTTCACTCTGGAATATAAACCCTTTCTTAGCTTGAGATGAAATCAAATTCAAACGTCTACAGAGTTAATTTTACTCCAATACATTTCAATTATAATATAATCAAGCATTAGGTGCAGTTATAGTAGGTACTTATATACGTAGTAACAGTCATTTATATATAAATATATATATATATTTACTCACACGCAATTAATGACCAGAGCATTTGTTGATTTAAATTATCAGAGAGTCAAACAATTCTTCAGATGACGAACTAGTAGATCAAAAGGCATGAGGGATTGACTTGACATGAGGTATACTACTGACAGCATGGGTGGTGACCTATCAATTAAGTTGCCTGACATTCAGGAAGTAGTTTTAGTTTATTTATGAGGTGTTGAATATAATAACATTCATTTTCAAGTTAGTATAGGAAGCCCTGATTACTGAATTTTTGGTGGAAATGAGTACTAAGTGATACACGTAAATATGAATACAACATGATAATAGGGAACCATGAAAATAGTTTGAAAACATTCTCAAAGTTCAGAAAATCCAGTAGTTATGAGATAGATAGCTGTAGTCAGTCCAATTCATAGAGACAAGGGCTTCAGCTATTGTTGGTTGGATGATGTCAGGCCACTCCTTGAAGAACAATGTAGGTGGGTTCCTCCAGGACAATGCAAGTGATGGGGATTTTCTGAGCTTTGAGATTGTTTCAGAATTTTTTCATGGTTCCAAATTTTCCTGTTGTATCATCACCCCTTGCATATAATAAGTTTTGTGCATATCACAATTGGAAGCCCCTAATATATATAGAGAATATTCAATACTGTTCATATTTAACTGCTCAATAACCTAAATGCAACTAGAGCTATTATTCACATTACTCAAATAGAGGAGCAAAATCTTAGCACTTTCAAAATTTGAACTAGCCAGGATCTTGTTTATGCATGCATATAAAAATGCCTGTAAAATGAATTGAGAACAGATTGATAGTTTATGGTTTGGGGCCGAAATGCCCCAAATAATAATTTACAACCCCCGCATTACTGGTGATTAGTCAATCTGTATTCTGTAATCTATGGAGTAGTATTAAAAACATTTAAGGCAAATTGGTTACTGATAATAGGTATATTACCTATATTGGGGTTGCCTGCAACTATAATTTATGTTATTTGCATGATAATAAATGACATTAATAAATTAGTACAGAATCAGTAACAAACAAAATGATAGTTGAATTTAGACGTTTCCTATATGAAATTATATGGCTCTGAGAAAGGAACAATAAATACAATACAATTATTACTAACTAATTAAATGAGTTATAAGTTATTATATAATGGATGACTATAATGTTGAGTAAACTTTAGCTCCTACTTCTACTGTCAGGAAATTTAGCAATGAGAAGAGAGCATTGAGAAATGCATGCGGTAGCTGAACATTAATTAGGCTCACTGGGGAATGCAGAACTGATCCAGGCCATGAAATTCTTATTTCTGTGAACTAATGTTAATTATGATGAAAAATATCAAAAGAAAGGTAAAACCTTTTTGAAAATAGTGATCCAGTCCAAAATCCCATTGAGAACATCCTGCTCTTCATTCTCAATAATTTTTTCAGAGATTTTAGATGTTTAATTGTCCTTGACAATCCTAAAATTGTGCTCATTTCATAGCCATTTTCTCTGGCTAGAATGTGCACTGATTTTAAATATAGAAGGAAGGACATGTCTGTGTGAATAATTTAATAAAATTTCTTCATTGCAGGTTTGTAAGTACAAATGAAATTGAAAATGAAGAGCCTGCCAGCAACCCCACTAAGGAGTGGGACAGCCTCATCTTCTCCCAGCAGTGGCCCATCACAAGTTGTATTGCTCATAAGGAAAGCCATCATGGAGCTGCTTGTCGGATCTACAAAAATGTCACCACTTGGACAGTGCATGGTCTCTGGTGAGGACTATCAATGTGCTTAAATTATTGGTAAAACTAAGGTTGAAATGAGTTGACAATTCCAATATTTCCTAAGAAGATTTGTATGAAGTTGCAAATAATTGTTTTAAATTTTGTTAAGATTTGTTAAAATATTTATTTATAATTGTTTTTGTTTATAATTATAAAACAAATAATTGTTTTAAATTTTGTTAAGAAAGATAATTTTGCACCAAGCATTCTGCATTTTTAATAATTTGAGATGATTTAGCCCTTTTGTGGACAAGTGACCATATATGGGCGCTTGAAATCTCCTCCCAAAAAGACCCATCGTGTTCCCCATTTTATGTTGATACATTTGCCAATTACAATCACTTGCTCATTGCATCATTTGCTCATTGTTTATCACCCCTCTATCACGGCCAAGAATTGAATTATGATCATTTAACCAAACATTTTAACTTAGACAGTGTAAGAGTAAATGTTTTTCTTTTTTGTCCGTTGAGAAAACGTGGTTTTTAAAAGTTTGTTTTATTTATTTTATTTCACTATTTTTAGTTTTGTAAAAACCAGGAAAACGTGGTTTTTAAAAATATTTTTATATATATATTTATTTAATATCTTATATTAGTCAAAGAACCTTGATGAAATTTAATTAAACTGAAGTTAGCTAGTCCAAATTTTCAGGTGGTGTAACAGCTTCCCAATGTTGTAATAGTAATTCCGAATTCATGTACCATAAATTCGTTACAAGGGCTTTCTCCCCTAGGTGGCTTAGGTTATCTTTTGAAAAATATGCTTTGCTGCCTGTGGATGATCCTCTACTGTCATTGTTTAGGTTCTTAGTCTTAAGTATATGGGTGTTTGTATTCACCTGTTTTTCATTGTCCCAAACTCAGTCTAATCATCTTGAGTGGGATAGTCTCTCGGGGTGAGGGGTTCATATCCACATAGGTTTTGTGGAACCCCAGTTGATCAAACCGCTACAATGGTATATTTGGATGTTCAAGATTCATTTCTATCTAATGGTTTTTTCATAATGATGGTATTAATAGATTTTTCAACTACGAATTACTCTCTCAATATGTAGAACTCTGAAAAATAAATACAATTAAATTTATGTTATAGGTAGTTGTACAAGACGGTAGTACCGTCTTGTACCGGTTTGAGAAATTTGAATTTCTGCATATTATTGTGCTTGCCCTCAAAAGGGTTAACCAGGGCTCTACTGCCGTATGTCACTCTTTGGTAACACAACTTTCAAATTAAATTATACATAAACTATTGAGTGTAGCATCCAAAGGATGATTGTATACAAGTATACAACAGAAAACATTTTGTAATTGTTGTACATTGCAGCAACATCCAGTGCAAGTCATTTTGCGCTCACTAGAACGTATCCTTTTTGGGTAGACTTATGTGACAATATTGCTCTGGTTACTCATGTCAGGCGGCAGAGGATTACCGTAAGTGGTCCCAAGAATGCAAGTAAAGGCTCCCCTGAAGATATTGTCAACATGAAAATTTCTAACAATGTCAGTAACCAGCTGATTGTTTCAAAGCACCAAGAGAGTTATTTTCTTTGATTTGATATTATCCATGTGGATTTTTTTTCTATCAAACCTTTGTTTGACACTATGAATACAAAAAAAAAAAAACATTCCCACTTGTACAATGGTAATATTTGTATATATTTATATGAAATCATGATTATTTCTCAGGCCAAGCATATCAGGAAGTCGCAATGGACCCCAATTCTGCAATAAATCCTGGCCTTTCATTGAATCAAGAGTGGCAGACATAGAGCCGCAATTACTCAAGTATTGGACTAACATTTTCAAAGACACTGGGAAACTTTCGCTGTGGCAGCATGAATGGTCAAAGCATGGCACATGTGCTGCATCTGAGCCTCAACTGGGCAATGAACATAAGTACTTTAGCAAAGGTTAGTTTATTAACTCAATTGTACTTTAAATATTTTTTGAGTGTTTTATATTATACATTATTTGGCGATTAAGTGATTAAACTATTCGTCGTTGTCAGCAATTTAAAATATTGATTTCGGAAGTAATGAAAAAAGTGGGAATTTTGTTACCATTATATAATGATATGTGAACAACTTCTTTATTTGTGCAGTAATTGTCTCAAAATTGTTGAGGTTACGGTAGGTAGGCCAGCTTCTTTGGAGACCTGTATAAGTCAGCCATGTGTGAATGGTCAAATCTGCCCGTTCAAGGGTGGTTTTTGAGCGTGACCTCCATATTTATTATTGGTGGCCACAAATGAAAAAGTATTGTCTGTGCACTTCAGATCACTTTCAGGTTTCAGGGGATGCAAAATTTTGATCTGTATGTTTGAGAATATTTAATAGTTTTTGGTTTATAAGAATGACTTACCCTTCCGGTATATTAGGTACTGTTTTGTTGGGTCGGAGAGTGACTTTCTCTAGATTGCAGTGGCCAAAGAATTGACTTGTTCATTCAGCAAGTGGTTTTATAGACCTGCTTTGAAAGTGTGAAGAAAGCCCTTAGTAGTAATAACTTTACATGTAATACAAGAGCGTGATAAGTATAACCTATTGATGTGGTGCCTTTCTGTAAGGGTGCTCTAAGGAAGTAATTGTATCATGTCTAAATGGTGGCACTGTTTTACAGGGTTGCAATGGGTGCGGAAGTATGACCTGCTCGATGTCTTATCATCTCATGGCATCACGCCCAGCACTGAGACTACCTACACCTCTGAAGCGCTGTTTTCTGCCATAACGTCTTCCTTTGGAACAGATCCCATCATCAACTGTGTCTATGATAAGGTACATAGGGAAATTCTATTCACCGGCTGCTGTGTGCTTTAGAATGCTCGAGGTCTAAGCTCATTTAATGTCAATAATAATTTATTATATCCCAGTTACTGGCTAGTTAATTACACGAAAGGTTATGCAGCTAAATGCTATTCATAGAACCTAGCAGCCCATGGGTGTACTCCTGATAAAAGTTTTCGCAGCAATTTGTTTTTTTGACGTGCCTGATGAGTTGCTAACAATTTCTTCCAGCAGATTTACTCATGACTGCCATATTAGAACAGCCCGAGATAATCACACTGAAAACATGGGCCATTATTTTCAAAAGTTTATTTCTTGTGTTACGAGCCGCGTTTATTTTCTCTTGACATTTTCACGTTTCCTTTACAATTGTGAAATACTATTATACAAGATGAAAAATGTAAAAAGTACAGAAACATTTTTTTCCAACTTCACACCGAACCACCGGCGTTTTCATTATGAAGTATCGTCTTTGTTTGAAAAGAAAAATTGATAAAATAATTATGACTACTGGAAAAAATTTGTTTCATTTCAAATTTGCAATTTTGAGTAACGATGACAGCGTATGGACTACATCTATGAATAATTTTAAACATGTTTTTAAAAACTTAGCAGAGTGAGAATTCTTCTTAGGGTAAATTCCCAGCCTCAGAGGATACTCCTAAACATAGCTGAGCAATTCGAGAAAAGCATTATACGTCAATGCGTTAGTATAGATCTTGATTCTTGTTCATTCTCAGCAAGTTAATAACATTCCATTATGTATTTTTTAGTTTTTGCAGGCAAAATTGATCTATTCCTAAACTTTATGGTAACAGGAGACGAAGACGCAGTTAGTGTCCCAAATCAAGTTGTGTTTTCACCGCAACCTGACTTTGGTGTCGTGCAACGAGGTTCTTGGGTACCGTGGTCCCCACAGGGGCAACTGCCCCCCCACCGGAGTGTACTACCTGCCCACCGTCAGGTGAGAGTTAAAAGTATATATTGATTTACTGTTTATTTGTAATGTGCACACACACAGGCTACACGGGAGCAGCAGGAGGAAGTAATGCCAAATTAAACTGTAATTAATCTCTGAACCTTCATTAGGCCCACAATGATTATTTTCTTCCTAAACCCTTTAAACTTATGGTTTCTAATACAACGTTTGAAAAGCGATTATGTGAAAACTCTTTATCATTCTCAAGTTGAAAAACTTTTTTTTTTGCCCTGAAGTTGAAACGATCAATGTATGCCAATTTATTGGTATTATTCTTTAATTGATGAACACTAAGTATGAGCCTGTTCTTTTGATGTGTCGAGTTATTGCATTGTTCTGTTACATCATTGATTTGCCGCAGCAATGTAACGTCGCCTACGACTCAAGCTCCACCGACACACGCACCCCAAGACCGTGACAAGCAGCCGTGCAGCACCCCTCTCTGCCAGGCCATTTACGCCGCCTACGCCCTCAGCATCGTCCCTCTCTAGCCTCACATGTACGCAGCCTACGCCCTCAGCATCGTCCCTCTCTAGCATCAAATTTACGCTGCCTACGCCCTCAGCACCGTCCCTCTCTAGCCTCACATGCACGCAGCCTACGCCCTCAGCATTGTCCCTCTCTAGCCTCACATGTACGCAGCCTATGCCCTCAGCATTGTCCCTCTCTAGCCTCACATGTACGCAGCCTATGCCCTTGCCTCACATGTAGGCAGCCTACGCCTTCAACATCGTCCCTTTCTAGCCTCACATGTAGGCAGCCTACGCCTTCAACATCGTCCCTTTCTAGCCTCGCATGCATGCAGCCTGCGCCTTCAACATCGTCACTCTCTAGCCTCACATGTAGGCAGCCTACGCCTTCAACATCGTCCCTTTCTAGCCTCGCATGCTTGCAGCCTACGCCTTCAACATCGTCCCTCTCTAGCCCCACATGTAGGCAGCCTATGCCTTCAACATCGTCCCTTTCTAGCCTCACATGTAGGCAGCCTACGCCTTCAACATCGTCCCTTTTTAGCCTCACATGTAGGCAGCCTACGCCTTCAACATCGTCCCTTTCTATCCTCTCGTCTACGGACGCAATGATCCGAGTCAATTGTGTTCATAGCTTAAGGCCTAATAACTAGGGTTACTCTCAATATAAGGTAACCTCTCAGAGAGTCAACTTCTGCCTACAGATATATTAACCGGTGTTAATGGTAATGGTACGAAATATCTCAAGACATGGCACTTAAACTAACATTAAAAATTTATTGAGTGGCATGGAATTATATTGATATTCACCGCAGATAAGACGAGTTTGCACGCCGTACTTAGCTACCTTGCTCCAATATTTATTTTTTTATAAATGAAACGCGTTGTGAGTGTACTTTCATTTATAATTTGTGAGTGTGAATCTTTTTTGTGGGTTGATAAAAAATTAATATATACCTACTTTTTTCATGTCTTCAGCGTTGTATTCGTGTTTTTTTGTGAATTCTGAAGTAAATCGATATCAAAAGAAATATTTTTATTGCCTCTGAAATGGTGGTTCCCAAACTGTTTTTGATAAGAGTACAGCTTGGACTCTCCGTAACACCAGGCACCACCGCGTGCCATTAATACGACATATTGCATCTTATATGATGAGCTAATCATTAACTCGTTGATTATTTGTACATTTGAAATAAACGGTGGCACCAGGCAGGTGACGTGTGATGACGATTGCACGGCGTTGACAGGGTATCTTTAGTTCCATATTTAGTTACAGTAAACATTTGTGATTTAAGTAATACGTAGCTAAATTATTCATGAAACCCAAAATTCTCTGGTACCAACTGAAATGGGTTTATGTATTAATAATGATTTGTGAACTGAAGTTTGGGAATCACTCTCAACGAGTAACGTTGATATAAATTGAATGTTAAAGTGCTAGGTACACAAATGGTAACGGATAACACATCTCCAAGAGTCAGGACCTTAAGGCGAGTCTCCCTCAAAATGTAAATATTCTCAAAAGAACAGGTTTACACAATATAAAATTGTATAAAGATTACAATAGACAAGTGTGTAGGTTGCTGGTAAGCACAACTGCCGCAATTGTCACAATTTACAGCCGACTATTGCGCCTCCTTCAATTGATGTAATAATTCTATATTTTTGCGTCACGAAAACCGTTCTTTTTAGGTCAACGAAAAATAGAAATGAACCTAAATTACTTTAATGGCCCTATTTATTAGCGCCTCAGATCTACGAAGTTCTCTCGTGCCATGATTTTGCAGGAAATTGGTCATCGACTAAGAAATTAATGCTAACGTGGGAGATGGTATCCAATACCTCGCTTCCATTAAATTATGATGCTCCAAAATAAGGTCAAGGTTGACGAACAATTCCACCTCCGACTGACTATTCAATAGTTTGCTTCGGAATTTCAAATTTAATTTTCAAAATTGCATTACAGATACGAAAATACATGGAATGATTAAGTAAAAAGTGATCGGAATAAGGTTTTCTAATGTTAACCTCGTGGTTGAGGTTGACATTAGACATTTTCAACCTAAATGGTGGAACGAAGTTGAGTTAACTAATGCGTTACCAAGTACGAGTATTTCAATAGCTTCATAACTAGAAAAGAACACTATGCTTGTACTCTACCTGTGAGATAACTATTCGAATAGAAATTTATATAATACTCATTCAGGGATCAACCACTTCATCTTAAACATCTGAAAAAATGAACATTAAATGAGTAAAAATAACTAATAACTATGAGAAGCAATTCGTCAAAAGCAAAGCCAATAGTACGAAAAGAGCACAACTTAACGCTAGGAACAAATTTGGACTTAAGTTTCAGGAATTGTTGAGAAGTTCCAATTCCGATTTGAGGTTTGTAAGGCTGTCAGAAGACTGCGTCGGTGTGTTGAGGATGTCGCAAAAAGAGGCGACGGTGAGGGACCTCTCCTTTGCCCCGCCAGCGGCGCTTACGTCTGCCGAGCCTAAAATGTTCGGCAGGAAAGAGCCGGGGGCTGGAGTCAAGTCTGTGGACATTCGCTGGTCGAGGTTATTTGAGTTTGACGATGAGGCTACGGGGAGTGCGGGGTTGGGGTCAATAATGTTAAGGTTAGACGAGAGGTTCTCTGAGAGATGAGCTTCAACGAAAGGCCCAGTCGTCTCCGCCCCCGTATCGAGGAGGTAGCGTAACTCGGCCGAGTTTATTTGGTTCATATCAAACTCTCCGGTGTTGTTGCTCGAGAGAAGACCTTGCGGCTGCAGATGCGTATTTTCCATTTGTTGTTGGTGATGGTGAAGATGCTGGTGGTGTTGCTGGTCAACAACGAAGCGCTGTGAGTCCAGGTCCAAGAGGTGCAAGTGATGAGCCGTGCTGGACGATGACGACGAAGTAGCGACGCCCATCGGCCTCGTAGCGACGGTGGCGTCACCAGCGGCAGGTGGGGACAGCACGGGGGAGGTCACGGTGACGATACCTCCGACCGAGCCACCCAATAACATCGAATAGTTGCTATTGTTTCCTGCACTCGTGACGCCGATGGCGTTACCTCCACCTGCAAGGTTAGCACATTGAGAATTGCACGTTAACGCTAAAAAANTTAGTGAGGTCAAATAACTTATAGCTGTTCTTCCAATTATTTCTCAACAATTCCTGCATTCAAAACTAACTAAAAATTTAGAATATTTGCGCATTTTATCTGCCGAAGTTGCCAGCAAATGTAGATGAACAAGCATTTTACTAGCTGTGAGTGCACATCAATTCTTGAATGAGTGCGATAAACCCAGTCTAAAAAATTAAAAACGAGCATGTAAGTGTGAAGCCTAATAAAACAATCAACTGCTAAACATTTTAAATCATAAATAACAATCAATCGCCTGTTGCACATGCGCGGGAGTAAAACACAAAGTAGATCATCTTGACCTGGAGGCTCCATACACTGACCTGGAGGCTCCATACACTGACCTGGAGGCTCCATACACTGACCTGGAGGCTCCATCTTGACCTTATCGGGACCGCGGGAGCTGCGGGACGCCACGCGGATGGGTCGCGGGACGTCGATGCCTGCCTCGCCTAAACCTGCACAATGTTTTCCGTCGGTCAGACAGCTACTCATTAACTTGCGTGATCGCGATATACGGCCTTCAAATCCCTTTACTTAGTTGTGAGGCTTTTCCAAATTACTTTACTTGAATCACAACGACACGATAGACAGCTGCACATTAACTTGATCGCGATATACGGTCTTCAAATCCCTTTAATTAATTGTGGGGCGTCTTCAAAATATTTTACTTGAATCACGACACGGCATTTAAAAATTTTTTACTTTGATCTCAGCATCACGGCCTCAGAATTCCCATTTTTGAATCATTACAACAAACTCCAAATTCTCGTAATTGACTTTCTGCAATACGAACCCATTTTAGTATATTGACTATCCCATGTACAAGGAAGATGGCAATTGACTCATCTAGATGGCAATTTACTCAATACAGATTAACCGGAACTAACCGCCATTCGAGATTCTATCCATGCAAAGCCTTAACATTATAAAATACTGCAAGTCTGACATTAGCATAAATATGCAATCATATTGTAGTACATGTCTAACAATTATTTACGAATTGTCCAAACCCATATAGTCAAAAAGAGACGATTTCCTGAGTTGTAGTCCAGAAAGTAATCAAATGCTATCTGGCAATGACTTGGTTAGTTAAAATAAGTTAGCTAATACGAGTGGTACAGTTAACCATAATACGAGTGAATCAATCTTGACTAATCTCAAGTTTTAAATTCCGTATGCCCGTGAAGTAGAAAAAATATAAGTGTGAGAATTAAAGTAAATATGTTAGAGGCATCTTAGTGTTATTAAATAATATGCCGCATCATGGGTGTAATAATTACCAAAAATTTTCAAATATTTGTAAAGAGGAATAACTTATATGTTTTTATAAATTAAATGTAATAATTCTATATGAAATGTAATAATTCTCAAATAACGCAGAGCACTCGCCTTGAATGTTATCAGCGATGAAGCGACCGATGTGCTGCGAGTTTGTAGCGTTGCCGAGGCGCGCGATCTTGCGTCTTACGTAGTCAGGGTCTGTACAACAGTGATGAATTATAAGCATGTCACGTACATCATTGTACAGTATTTTATTATATATTGGATTGTAGAGTATTTTATTATATGTTGTATTGTTGAGTATTTTATTTCATGTACTATTGCAGAGGAGTTTAGTATATCTAGTATTGCAAAAGACTTTTCGTCCTATGAAAAAAGAAACACAAACAAATTGAATTGAAATAATAATACCACGGGTTGAATACGATAACTTTCTATAAGCGTACATAAAGAAGAAAAGCTGCCAGCCTTATTAATTTGCTTTTAAATAACTACGCCTAGAATAATCACAGAAATTTAGACACAGCAAGATGCGAGTGTGAGGGACGAGATGCAAGCGCGCCAATTGTTGCTACTAATCATCCAAGTACAAATTGTTAGGCATGGTATTACGGTGCAGATCATGCATAGGATTACGGTACATATTAGGAGGAATACGGTACAGATTAAAGGGCATACGGTACAATTAGGAGGAATACGGTACAAATTAAAGGGCATACGGTACAGCTCGGGGGTAGGATTACGGTACAATTAGGAGGATTATGGTAAAAATCGGGGATTAGATTACGGTACAATTAGGAGAATTACGGTACAGATCGGAGGTAAGATTACGGTACAATTAGGAGGATTATCGTAAAGATCGGTAGTTAGGATTACGGTACATTTAGGAGAATTACGGTACAGATCGGAGATAAGATTACGGTAAAATTAGGTGGATTATGGCGTAAAGATCGGTAGTTAGGATTACGGTACATTTAGGAGAATTACGGTACAGATCGGAGATAAGATTACGGTAAAATTAGGTGGATTATGGTAAAGATCGGGGTAAGATTATGGTACATTTAGGAGAATTACGGTACAGATGGGAGATAAGATTACGGTAAAATTAGGATGATTATGGTAAAGATCGGGGTAAAATTATGGTACAATTAGGAGGATTACGGTACAGATGGGAGATAAGATTACGGTAAAATTAGGATGATTATGGTAAAGATCGGTGGGTAGGATTACGGTACATTTAGGAGAATTACGGTACAGATCGGGGATTAGATTACGGTACAATTAGGAGAATTACGGTACAATTAGGAGGGTTACGGTACAGATCGGTGGTAAGATTACGGTACAATTAGGAGGATTACGGTACAGATCGGAGGTTAGATTACGGTAAAATTAGGAGGGTTACGGTACAGATCAAAGTCTTGTCAACTTCTAAGCATTTGATACACTCCATCAATTAGCATTACATCATACAATGGTTAACATAAATGGTAACTTACAAAAATTAGCAGTTATTCTATATAACTACAAAATAACGAGTCGCGGTCACTCAGGCATGTCTAAAATCATAGTAAGGAAATGCAACTAAACATTGGCAAGATAAGTGTAACACATATAGAGAAAGTTAATTGCGCAACAAACGGGGGCAAGGAACTTACCGCAAAACAGAGGCGAGTGGAGGGAACGATCCAAATGTTGGATAGTTTCAGCCTCGAATTGAACGGCGGGTAAAATGAATGGCTAAGATACGAGAAGATAAAACATGGTGATAGGGGCTCCATATGGCATGTTATAGCGCGCGTCATCGTAACTTAACATTTGATTTTAAGCAAATAATCATAACAACAATTAATGAAGAACCTTTTCGATGAGACCAAATGTGAAGGGTAGTCAAGAAATTATTGCCAAGAGGCTCTAGCATAAGAGGACATAGAGTAAGAATAAATTTTTTCCGGCTTGAAGTATTTTGTTGGATTTAAAGTACGAATCTTGATTTTGAACCATAAAATTGGCTGAATAATATCAACTAATTATATAAAAATATCTTGAAGAGAATGGAAGGAAATAGAGAAACTAGAGGAAATACTGAACACATTGATTAATCACTTTTATTTCATTTTTCCATAAGCATTCAAGCCAACTGCGATTGGGGCAACCAAATTAAATGGCATGATAACTTCTGAGTGCGTCTTAATATAGAGCGTTAGATTGGCGAAGCATTCAAAAATTTGATGCTCATAAATAAAAATTATTTAAATAAAATAAATAGTTGTGACTAAATTCCCATGGAGAACGTAGGGGTCTCCTAACCAATGAAGTAATAATGAAATACTAATGAAATGCACGTTTCAAACACATGTCCACTGAATACAGAATTTACAAATGAATAAATACTGTGAGATATCGATAGAAGAATAAGTCCAATTCAAGACGCTGAAGTTCGCAGTTAGCCAATAGAGAAGTAAATTTGCTCGTGCAGAACAGCTCTGCGCTAGTCGACTATTAACAAGAACCAGATAAACATTAATAAAGATTAAAAATAGTCAACACCTGCCAATGCCAAAAAATCAAACTACCATACATCAATAAGATTACCGAAGAAGTGATGGTATCAAATCCTGTTATAGAAACATCGTGTTAGTCAGCTAGAACTCAATCTAGATCGCTTAAATTATTAAACTTCCACTCAAAAAAAGTTCCACAACAGAATGAGCAACGGAACGCTGCACGAAATTGACAATACATATGAACAACGTCACCGAGTTCAAGTTACAATGACGCGTACTACAGTATCTTTAAACCAATCAAACCGACAATACATACGTATTGTAATATGTTATTATGTATCTTAAGTTTAACCACCTCAAGCTGAGCACGTGAACTAGAAATGACTAGAGAGCACAAGCAGCACCTAGCGTTCATGAATAACAATCGAGCTGCACTTTGGGGCAGTTATCGGTATCATATTACAAAACGACTAAACCCACCTATTTGAAATTTTTATTATCACTGCGCAGCTGTATATTGAATTAATTTCTCGATTTATATGGAGATCAAAGCTGACTTGGGGAATTATTGGTTAATTTGATGTATGATGCAGTATTAGAAGAGCCTACATCGTGACGGTGAATACCAGCGGAGATGTAACAGCGATGAACAACTTCTATAATGTCTGTGCAGATAAAAATAATAATTTTATACTCAAACTGCCGGTCAGCACATGTATCCTGGATATTATTTTAATTTTGACGTCCATCAACAGCGTGTCAGCTCTCGTTAAACGATGGTGAAAGGTGTTCAGAAGACTTTCTATTAAAAATATGAATTAAAACATTTTTCCAGATTTGCTTAGCGTCAGAATTTTCGGACTCGACATTTTTTTGAAGCAATCTTAACATGATTCAATCTTGTTTATTGCGTACAATAATTTCGTACATGTATAACCTCCTGAAACATAGTTAATCATTTATGTTCGTTTTACGTATCATTATTTGCCAGAATTCAAAGTCTTTGTTAAAGTCGAGTTCGAGTCTCATCACTTAGTAATAACGTTTGCCACACGATTCCTTACGAGTTTACACAAATTAAAACATAAAAAACAGTAACAAAAAGGCCTTCAGTCACAAACTGCATGAATTTATGCTTTTCTGCGAGACCTGAATTGAGAATTTGTTCACGAACTGATATAAAAACTGGAGTACAGAAGCCTGCATGCTGCCATACTTAGCGAAACGCAGCGGAGCGTATGGGGAGTTCAAGAAGGTTGTATACACTTGTGACATCGTCGGGACACTTTTGTGATAAGCAGATATTTAACACTACCAGCACCATTCATCTCACAATTATTCAAATTAAATTAAACAATTTTGATCGAAATAACATGATTATTATAATGACATTCTGACCAAAATAGAAAACCGAATATCAACAATATAACTCGGCTAAGAATATGGACCAACAGCCGACGGATTCCATCAAATAAAACAAGACATAACCACCGTCTGTAATTACAACATACAATAGCAGCACGTTCGCTGCAGCACCTTATCTTTATCACATCTTATCCGTGCATCTAACATCACTGAAGAGAAGATAGATTAACCGATAAACACTCTGTCTAGAATGCACATTGAAGGCACACTGGCATTTAGCAGATCTCATGAAATCGAAACGGCTTTCCAATAAAGAGCAGCTCATAAATCCGAACAGATAATTATAACAATATATTCCGTCTTCTTAATATGTTCCAACAGCCAATAAAAAACGTTGAGCTGCGCATTAAGGCTGTTTCATAAACAAAAATTACCTTTATTAGTTTCGCTTTCTTCCAGCGAGCATCAGTGGTGAAGCTATCGCGTCTAGTAGGGTTTAAGTAAACATAAAACACACAACAGATATGACACAACAATAAGGCAACATAACATATTTGAACATAAAGTTATTCATCAGGTTGCTACATTTAATGACTAGAGACATTACGACATCAGACCAAATATTCTGACAAGATAGAGTAAAAAAAAGACTGCGAGTTTTATTCAATTTTTGATAACGAAATCAGGAAGACCATATAAATTAAGCGGAGGACGCGTGGACACAGCACGAAGGATGCTCTTAACAAGATACCAAACCGGCCCAAAATTTCCAGTGTTGAGACGCCAAGTAATAATCTCTGTGAACACCGTACGCTATCTTCCAGTTTATACGCCATTATAGTGAGTACCGTTATTTTTTGCCGGTTAGCAATTAGCATTATGTCTTGAAAGTCGGTCATCACGGTTATGTCTTTAGCGGTCAGCTATTGCTTTGATGTCTTGAGGGTGTCATTACCGTTATGTCTTGACGTTTAGCCATAACAGATATGGCTACAAGATGTCCAATTGTCCTACGAAACGAAACATTAGGCATATTTTCCCTCTGACTTAGTAAAAAATTTAAATCAGGAGCATTTCTATGGTATTAAAAATAAAAACGAATTTAAGACTGTGTGCTAGTGAGAATCCTAAAGATAGATAATGTAGGCTGACAATGTAGGTCCATCTTATTGTAGGTCCATCAGTTATTGTAATCCAATTATACTTAACTTATTCCCTAAAAGTATATTACTTATGACTGCCCCATACATCAATCAGCAACGAAGCATATTAGTGCCGGTGGCCTCAGTCTTTTTTGGGAAATTTTTCTGGTCAAAAATGAAACCAACTCTGAAAACCGGAACGGCGTTAAACGCTCGATGTCTTTTGTCGTTTAGCGTCTAAATCGAGCCAAGGTTAGCACGCTTTCCAACCAAACCCCTACACAAATATCATACAAGAAGCACTCAGTTGCAGGGCATGAGTATTCCGTAGTAAAGCTTTTCAACCAATACCGTACGTATAGTACGCATTATAACCTAACAGTAGTACAATAATAGTGCAACATAGAATAGTGTATCGTAGTGCAACATAGAATAGTGTAGTGCTGTGCAGTCGGCGCGGAAGTATGGGTCATGGACTGTCACTAATTCAAGACATCACAGAATTTTCACAGTTAAGTGAGGCTCGAACACGCAACTCACTGATTCAGTCCGACCGCTCTGTTATGATGAATGCAACGGCTGAACGAACTGCAGAGCAATCAATAAACTGTGGATTCTCACCACGACAAATTAATGCCTTTGTTAAGTAAACAGCAAATCCAGCTACCTTATATCATAAAGCTTTCATGGCAAGGTCTTTCAAGAACCACCAAAGTGAAATTCAAATTAATTACAAACTATACTAAAATCAAGATACTATTAATTTTGTTAAATGAAATTGAATTAACGGTATCGCATTAACGACCAGAGATGCTTATAAACGATTTATACAGGATGACATGTCAGGTTTAGACACCTGGTTAATTAGTACCGGAGTGACTACACCTAATCAACGTATTCGCTACAAACCATACTCGACTTTGCACGCTAGTAATGAAGTGTAATACGAGAACTCAAGATGGCATAGGAGGTCTCGTGGGAGCTGCTGGGCATATTATTTTCATAATCGCTTAATAATCATTCATAATCAATCGCTTCATAATCATTAATATAATATTAATATAATATGAAATAATATTCGCTTCATAATCATTAAAGCAAGGCTTCACAAACTGGAGGAAATGCGTCCTTTGTCGGGCGGTAATTAAGCAGTTAAGAGTTTCAATTTAGCCTTTCTACACAATTATGACAAGATTAGTGAAAAAAGTTGTTTAACACATTATTGTGGCATGATAAATTTAAGTAGGGTAAAAAAATTGTATGTGCGGTGAGTAAATTAGAGAACCGCTACACTGAAGTAAGACACACAAGCTTTAATTAGTCTTCTTAAGCCAAGTTAAAGCATTTACAACACACTAGATATATAAAAAAAACTCAATTTTTAATAATTCAGCATAAGATTTTCTCAGCATTGCTTCTAACTTAATCACATAAACATGTTTTACTTGCATAAGTTAACGAAGCATTTCAATCGTAAGAGTCTTAGAGTAGAAATGTCATCCGCTTAATCTTAATGCTATGTTACTAAGCTGCAATGAGAACCATCCTAAGCATAATATATCCTAGGATATTTATATTGCCCGTGTGATATTTGATACAGTTCTCATTCAATGACTTGATGAATACAAATTAAGTTTGAGACAAATAAAAAGTCATGTGGATAAAACCCATGAACGTTAGTGAGTATCAAACAAATAAGTCCTGGACAGTCTTTGGTAAGAGATCGTCGTCTTTCTCTAAATCCATGGGCGATATGAGAGCTGGCGTTCTGATGGCAACGTTGCCGAGAAGTGACTGTTGTTGTGGAGCATTTGCAGCGCCAAATCCTCGTATGTGCAACAATTGAGCCTTTGTCGAGTGCACGGGGCGGTTGGATGGTACACCATATATGGCAGAATCGTCTTTGGTTTCTTGGTCCGGACTTTTCTCAGGAACTGCCGGGAACATGGAGCCTCGAATGAGGCAATCTCCCTTAGTTAGAGAACCAGGGGAAGTGGCCGTCTGTTGCTGGGCCGCACGGGCTCTGTTCATCACAAACTCGAGGTTAGTGTAACACGAGGCGTACGAGGCGTCGCCATACAGCATATCTGTAGTACCAGCCTGAGGGAAAGAGCTTGCATCTGAAGACGAGGCGGGTTCACCCATAGCCAGCATTGCATCGAGCTGCTGGCCCCCACACAGCAGGTTTAAGGTACTCGATATCGCGTTGTTGTTGTCTCTCATATTAATGGCACTGAAGCCGCCCATGGAACTTGCAGCGAATGAATTATCCAAGTCGTGGTAGGCAGAGCAGCCTTCTCCCCCAATGCCGCTGAGCAGGTCATTGACGCTGCTGTCGCTCAGTACCTCCTCCAGTAGCTCAGCGTCTGAGTAGCACGATCCTTCCGACCATATCGGTGATAAGTTCTTCATTAGAGTCTTCGACGTACCACTGGGACTTAATAACCCAGTAGAAGATTGCTCACGGGTCGGTAAGCTGATTTTCGTGTTTTGGTCCTGTTTGATGACGGGATGAAGCAATGGTTGGTCACGCTTGGAAGCTGAACCAGAGTTGCTCGTGGAGACATCCACACGCACGGAGGGGATTTTGCGTTTCAAGTCTTCCTCCTCTTTTTGCGACGCTGAAGTGTTGTCGAGGAAGAGAGGATCAAGTCCCAGGATCCTAGAAAAGGGCCCATAGGACTGCTTGAGGCGCTTGAAAGACAACAAAGGCCTACCTGAGTCCAATGGAAGGTACTCGAAGGGCCGAGGTTCTGATGTCGTCTTGTCCGAGGGCCTCTGAAGTTGGATGTACACCTTCACGGGGTTCTCGATCTGTACAATAAACATATTTATTGTACAGATATTTACAGAACCTTTACATGTTGTTAATGAATCGCTTTATTATTTGTTAAGTTCAATAATGTTCCAAACAAGATTCTGATTCAGCTACTGAAAATGGTATGAACATTGTAATGTGCACAACACAATGAAAAGTAAGAGCATGCTAACGTCGTTAATTATAATGTATAATATAATGTATAATATAATGTACCGTGTGGAAATGAGTAACTCAGGGACACCATAGTCTGAAATATGATCCGCTGAAACAGGCAATGAAAGTTGAACCGATGAAGGAAAAAAATGCATTGAAGAAACCAAGAGGACGACTTGAAAGATTGCATTTTCTCCTCATCGTGTCCCTAGATTAGAAATTTAAAACGCTGTTCTGAATGTTTTAATGAATTGTAATCATTAAAAGCAATTTAGGAGACATCTGACCTCAAGCGTCTTTTAATCGTATACCAAGATAAGAAATATTACAACGTTATTCTAAACGTTTTAATGAATTGTAAACATTAAAAGCAATTTAGGAGACATCAGACCTCAAGCGTCTTGTATCTCGGGGTTTTGAAGGCTATGGCCACCTGCTTGTGCACGTCTGACGGCTGGAATTCACCCAAGGCTTCCCAGCTGATGAGCCCGTCTGTGACTTCGTAAAAACGCACCTGAATGTCCTCTGTCAAACATAAAAAAATGTAGTTTTACATAAATGAATAAATAATTTCAAACCGTGAAATATATTCTTTAACTTGATAATTCAGACGCATGCAATCCACGGACAGCGAGCCAAATATCATCTCATCTGCTCTTGGTTGTGTAGAATATAAAATAATAGCTGTGCAACATTTAATGAAACAGCAATAAATAATTTATTGGTACAGCTACACAGAATTGAATATAGCACAAGTATGAAATTTACTGGAACTGCTTAAAAATTGAGTACTGTATAGCTGTTGAAACAGAAAAGCGTCAGAACAGTTGGCTTAGAAGCCCAACAACCTTGTTAACAATAATTAACATTAAGATATGCAATAAGGTTAACCAAAGATATGACAATATAAATATAACATGTTTAGAAATGAGTAATACCCTTGGTAACTTTGTCGCACAAGAGAATGACCTCCTTGCCCCCAGCGACGCTGCTGGTGCAGTCACTGAGCTTGCATATCAGCAGGTCGCATGTCGCTTCTGCTCGCAAAAAAAAAACATTTAAAACATTGCAAATAACAATAAGCTGACACGATTTCGTCATGTGAATACATTATTTTCATTCATTAACATAAACAATTTCCATCATTAATATGATTCATTAAATATTCATTTCAATAAATCGAATAAATCTTCAAGATATGCTATATTTGCTTTAGATCTAATCCAGTTCAGAAAAAAAAACACAGTAAAGTTAAATTAAAAGAGAAGTTAAAGTTAAGTGCGCAAAGTTAAATGAAAGAAATGAAGAGATTGAAAGCCTCACTCTTGTCATATATGGGCTCGGACACCGTAGGCTTGAGAGGGAAGGTAAATTTGCCCTTGGTGTGGCCCTCCAGGAACACTTGGAAGCAAAGGCGCAGCGCGTTCAGGTCGATGCTTTGGGGCTGGTTGCGGTGACCAAACCCAGCTGCAGGCAAACAATGAATGTCAGGTCGCCATAATGGAGAAATTGCAGCTAATATAAGTCAGAATACGAAATAAGAACATTAAGATGGTAAACCCAGCTGTAGGCAAACAATACTTCTCAGATCGCAATAATGTATAAAAATTTCAGCTAATATAAATCAGAATACGAAATAAGAACATTAAGATGGTAAATAAATCGAAATAAATCCATCAGCTAGTATTTAGTGGGAGTGAACAGTTACACAAAAATGTACCAAAGTTAAAAAGATCGTCTCAACTGTCGTCAAAAGAAGATGCACAGATATGATGTGTCTTAACTGCACTGAAAACTACAACCAACAGCCACAAGCGCCCTGTAATAATGTATCAGTTATAAGGGTCACAATTCACACAAATTAATGGCCTTAACTTTATAATACAGTTACATAATAATTTTTTAACCTGAGCCTGTTAAGTAATTTTTAGGTGAATCAGGAGCTAAACTGAGTGCTCGAGTAGATTCACGACCAGCCATGAAGGTCATTGGAAAGAATATGTCAGCATGTAAGTCAACAGGAAGAAATAACGACATTAATCACTAAATATATAGATAACTACACGGCCTCGCGTATCAAACGTACATCACGCAGACAATATTTACGGCTCCTGTAATAAGCTTGCATTACAATTTAATTAAATTATTTAACGGCTATGCTAGTAAGCTTGCATTACAAGACCCAATTTACTGCGCAGAAGCAAACATGACGACCAAACGCGGCTAATTTACTGCCAAGAAGCAGCCATAAGTACCAGACGTAGCCAATTTACTGCTCAGAAGCAGCCATAACTACCAGACGCAGCCAATTTACTGCTCAGAAGCAGCCATAACTACCAGACGTAGCCAATTTACCGCTCAGAAGCAGCCATAACTACCAGACGTAGCCAATTTACTGCTCAGAAGCAGCCATAACTACCAGACG